TTTTTTTTTTTTTGCCTGTTGAATTTTATTTTGCACCCCAAAGTGACACAGTTGCTCACTCACCCACCCTGTTTTCTCCTTCCCGGAGCTGGCTTTCGTAGGTGATGGGCCGTGGTGAAGGGGCACCTAAGCTGAAATTACACGGTGGCGGGTGGCGGCTCGCGGCTCATATTTAGGGTAATTCTCTGATGAAAGTACAGCTATTAGAATTGCATTTGTTCCTCTGTGCCTTTATTTTGGGAAACTTTGCCTGGTCCCTCTGGGGGAAGGGAGAGGGATGTGAGCCGCGGAAACTGACCCAGAAAAGGGTGACTGATGGCAGTTGTGTCAGCGGCGGCGCTGGGAAGATCCCGTCCTGAGCTTTCTGAAGGGGGTCGGTGATAAGCAGCTCAGGTTTTCACTTTCACAAAAGAAACGTGGTGGATTTTAGGTCTTGTTACAGGGGAGGAGGCTCCTCCTTTGGGCCCACTCTTTTATTTTAAAGCAAGGTACATTCAATACCTAAAATATTTCCTTTATATACTTAAAATGACCCTTCTATCTCCTGCTCCTTCCCTGTGCCTCGCTTTCCCCGGTCCTGCAGGCCTCTGAGTATTTACTGGGCACCCACCCTCTGAGGCTGAGGCTCCCTCTAACCCATAGGAGTCCTCCAGGGCCTCCCCCTGACACCTCAGGATGGGGATGAGTATTATGACAGGGACAGCTGAAGCCAAAGCTCAGAGAAACTGCCCCTGAGGAAGTGAGAGCTGATTAAGAGGCATAAAGAATGTCACATGGAAGTGTTCTCGCCCCACCCCGCGAAAAACCTCAAAAGGTAAAGAATTTTCAAAACAAAATGTAGGCTATAGCAAATAAGAATGTCACTTTATAGTTCACTGAAATGGAGATCAATTTTCCCTTTTATAAAAGACTGATGCCAATGATGAGATTGTAGGAAAAGAGAATAACTTTCTATTTCTCAAATATAGAACAGCTTGAATCATAACTCATGGGTTTTGAAATGGGTCATCTTTTAAAATGGGTCACATTGGCTAGAGCCATTGCACTTGGTGACTTTCAGATTGTACAAGGAGAGTTCTTGCTGAGGGCCGGCTGCAGGAGAATCTACATGAAACAGGATGCGGTGGTAGAAAGAAACAGAAATTCAGAAGGAAATGGTCTCAAAGTAAAAAAAAAGTGTCCTATCATTTTGGAATGTTGTATATGCTCAGTTGAATAGATCTAAGCTTTGCACCTGATATCACATTATACCTTTTTGGGGGGCAGTATGTCCATAGCCATTATTTTATTCTGTTGTTGGAGTAATTTTATGAGGAGATACATGTCTTGTATCTATGTTTCCGAAATTGAGGCACGGCACGTCATTACAAGAGTTCTGCCATTTGACACTGACTCTCCGCTAGCAAAGATTTAGCTAGGACAGTATAAATCTAGACCATGCACAGTACACAAATACAGGGTGGGGCAAGAGTGGGTTTACAGTTGTTTGCATGCAAAATAATACAACACTTAATAATACAAGAATAAACCATTTCTCATACAGCTGTAAACCTACTTTTGCCCCACCCTTTCTATAGGAGGTATAAGAATCTTCATGTTTAAAGATAAGAAAGTTGATCTAGTGAGATGATCAAACTTTTTTTTAAATCCTCACCTGGGGCTATGTTTTTATTGATTTGAGAAAGAAAGGGAGAAACATCTGTGTGAGAGAGAAACCTCAATCGATTGCCTCCCAGTTGCCCCAACCGTCCATGCCCCGACTGGGGATTGAACCTGCTACCGAGGTATATGCCCTGACCGGGAATTGAACCTGCAACCTTTATATATATATATATATATATATATATATTGATTTCAGAGAGAGGAAGGGAGAGGGAGAGATAGAAACATCAATGATGAGAGAGTCATTGATCGGCTGCAGCCCGCAGCCCGGGCATGTGCTCTGACGGGGAATCGAACCTCGATCACCTGGATCCTAGGTCGATGCTCAACCACTGAGCCACCCGGCCGGGCGAACCTGCAACCTTTTTGGTGTGCGGGACAATGGTCCAGCCAACTGAGCCACGCAGCCAGGGCAAGATGATCAAACTTTGAATAAACCAAAGTGATTTTTTTACATTTTAATACTGGAAATTCAGAGGCTGACTGAGATTTGTAATTTTTATGATTATCTTCCATAGTGAAGGCTTGAACACCAGAAGCCAGTTTTCTACAGGAAGGAATGTTCTACAAACTCTGCAGATAATAAGCTTCCTACTTCAAAATACTATTGCACAGCTTAAGATCCACCTAAGATTTCATATTTTGTCTTTAATTCCTTTCCTCTAATTCTTTCTACAACTTTCTGATAGTTCTCTAGACAAAGTAAGTTCAAAGGTTGACTAAACTCAGGTTTCCTCCGTAATTTACAGGGTCTTACAACTTTGGTTTTGTCACCATCATTAAAATGTACTTTTAAGTGCATGTGGAAACCATATTGTTCTTTCCTGTCAAGGACAATTCAAGACCATGTTCAGTCAATTAGTAATAAGTGCCCTTAGCAATCAGATCAGTATTTTATAAAACATATCTAATGAGTATTTTGTGAGAAGAATATTAAGAGTATATCTCATCTCTTAAAAGAAAAATAATTCCTGAACACTACCAGCCATCTGCTATCTAAGCCATCATGGTAAAGATGCACAAACAATTTCTAGAGAAAGGAAATTAGAGCATATTGAACACCTCATCTGCACCACACTTGTCGATAAATTACCTCAAATGATCCTCAGAAAATGTGTGGTATATGGTCTAGAGGCAAGTCAAGCTCCTGTGACCACTAAATGGAAGCACCAGAATATAAGTTTACTTCTGTTCATTTTCTAAAACTCTTGGTGGTTTTGCTCTCTTGCCTCCATCAGGTCGATTCCAGGTTGTACAGGAACAGTTACGTACTCTGGTGAGGGATCTACACTGGAAACATCACTGAAGCCTTCCCAGCATCCTGCCACACAGTATGTGAGAAATTAATATTCACTGAATTAATTTAATGTAGGCATTATCTACTTTCAGTGCTGCCCAGCATAATGCCTGGAGCAGGGTAGGTGCTCAATAAATGGTAATTAACTTATTATAATAAATGTTGATTAACTGAGACAGAAATGTATTATATATACACCTCGTGTTTTACACCATTACTTACTTTTTGTATTCTGTAAACCCTCAATCAAGTGTTGTTTCCAAATACAATGTCCAGAACAGGACATATGAACTGCCAGTGAACAACAGGCTTACATGTATAGCCTATATAATAGGCTTATACTGTGCTAGATTGTCAATTTATTTCTAAATCACTTTTTTATATCATGATTTGACCTCAGCTTTGTATGACCCTTCTCCTTTCATTTCATCCAATACTTATTCATCAAATACTTCCTTAAAACATGCCCTCTAAGTCCTATACTTTTTTCTCTCCTCTCCTTCCCTCCTCCTCACCTCTCTCTGTAACCCCCTTTGCCCCTGTGGCTCTCCTCCCTTTAGCCCCCTAATCTTCTTTATGGAGGAAAGACTTGATGCACCCAAAAGACACGGACTCACGAGGTCAGTTTTGCCCATTGTCTAGTACTACTGTTATCAAGAAAGGAAGGAGGGAAAGTCGAGATGGAGCGTCAAGAAAGGGTATGTCACAAAGAAAATGAGAGCAAGCTCAGACAAAATGCAGGTGGTTGGAGCAAAACTTAAGTGACTGCAAGCTTCAGACAGTGAAGAGGATTCTTTGCTTTCTTGGCCCCCCCCCTCCTGCTCCCCTGCCCTCCCATCCTGAGGGGACCCCCAGGGCAGCTGTGCCAGCACCAGGAAGGAAGGGCAGGGGAGGAGCTCAGGGATGGGCCTGGACCTCAGCTGGAATTGATGGAGCAGCCAGGGCATCTGCAGTTTCTGGAGGTTATGTGGTGAACCCCCCATGTCTTGTACTTTGGTTTCTTCTTCTGCAACGTGGGGAGATGATTTCTCCCTCATAGGTCGCTGTGGGACGTGGAGGGTTACTACAGTGCACAGCATTCGGACGTGCCTGCTGTACAGTAAACACACCGGTGTTAGCGACTGTGTTAGAGTGGGCAACAGGAGAAGCTTGCTTAAGAACAAACTTTCGTTCTTGCTTAAGTTAGGCAAGAACAAAACCAGTAAGAATTGTGTTCGAAAGAGCAAGCAGCCCTGTCAACCAAACAACTGTGCTCAAGAATGAACACAGAAGGCCAAGCTTAGAGAAGCAAATGTTTGACCTTTACGAGGCCCACTTCATATTTCAGCTTCTTTGTTTGTTTCAAATTCTGCATAATCAAACTCCTTACTGGGAATTTTTAATGATTTTTAATATAACTCCTGAAATATCATCATACTCTGTAGTCCTGTGTCACCAGTTTCCTTAGCACCTGTCTTTGCTTAGGCCTGTCTTTGTTTGTTCACATGGTATTTCCATATTTTCCACAACCAGCAAACAGAAATCTATACCTTTGTTGACTTATAAAGAAGCATATAACTTAGTTTAGATGGGCAAGGCGCTTATTACTGGATTCACATTGTTGCTTTTATAACCTAGCTTTCCCTCTGTCCCACATCCACGCTTGCGGGTTGGCATTTAAAGCCTTTGGACTAACACTGAATCAAGAACTAACTCTTTNCATTTTTCCCACAACCAGCAAACAGAAATCTATACCTTTGTTGACTTATAAAGAAGCATATAACTTAGTTTAGATGGGCAAGGCGCTTATTACTGGATTCACATTGTTGCTTTTATAACCTAGCTTTCCCTCTGTCCCACATCCACGCTTGCGGGTTGGCATTTAAAGCCTTTGGACTAACACTGAATCAAGAACTAACTCTTTAAATGTATTCTTTGTGGAGGGGTAACAACTCCAAATGACTTCTAATCTTTGTCCATGGCTTGAGTAAAAATTTCGTAGCTAGTCACAGCCACCAAAAACACCTAAAGACAGCTGTTGGGCAGGATTTTGCCTTTTTATAGGCCTTATACTGAAAACAATTAATTATTGCTTTTAGAGAGAGGAAGGGGAGGGAGACAGAGAGAGAGAGACATTGATGTGAGAGAGAAACACAATTGGTTGCTTCTGCACAGATCCTGATTGGGGATCGAACCTGCAACCTGGGTGTGTGCACTGACCAGGAATCAAACCCGCTACCTTGTGGTGTATGGGACAACGTTCCAACCAACTGAGCCACACCTGACAGGGCAACACTCAATTTGCTTAAAGAATATACTAAAATTGAGCTCTAGCTTGTTTGACTCAATGGATAGAGCAACGGACCTCGAATTGAAGGGTCCTGGGTTCAGTTCCAGCCAAGGGCATGTACCTTGGGGCATGTGCAAGAAGCAACCAATTGATGTGTCTCTCTCACATCGATGTTCCTCTCTCTCTTTCTCTATCTCTGTCTCTCTCTCTTTCTCCCTTCCACTTTCTCTGAAAAGCAATGGAAAAAATATCCTCTGGTGAGAATTTAAAAAAAAAAGAATATAATAAAATTGAGAGAATATGTGGGTTGTGAATTCAAATTTCAGGTTGCTCCCTTTCTTCCTGAGCAAATAAAATAGTCAAATAGTACTAAACAGTAACCAGTTGTCTTTCTCAGCACAAACTAACTTAATAATAAAAATCTATGAAAATCAAATTATAGCCTTCCCAGTAAGTTCAGGGCTTTTTAGTCCTGATTTCTTTTAACATGGCAGTTTGGCTGCTTGGGACAGATCCTAGCTATGTCTATCAAGGAGGAGATGATCAGACAAGCTAGATAAAAGTTCTTGGAATGTAAAACAAAATGTAAGATAAAGATGGGACAGAAAATGTCATCTTCCTTTTGTGTTTGCATGGACACAAAACAAAAGTTGTGTCTCACCTGGGACTGTCATAAAAGTTTAAATGTAAAAGGAATAAAGTACTGAGGCTTTCTTTTTGAATTGTGACTTACTGGAGGAGCATTATTAGTTCATCACTTTTCAGTGAGGCCCCTAAATGAGTGTCTCACTTGTCTCTCCCCAGTCCCGGCCCAGACCTTCGGGGTGCCTTAGAGAGGGAATGGAGAGGGTCGGGGAGCTGGGAAACCCATGACACACGTGGGGATGGGAAGCGGACAGTGTGTGGTGTCCTCTCCTTTCTCTATGAGGCAGGGAGTAAACACATCAGCTGAGTGAAGACAGGTCCTGGGAGAGGGGGAAGACTTAGCATGGCTGGGGAGGCGACTGGGAGAGGGGGTAGGTCCAGGACAAGTGAAGGTCGCACAGCATGGAGTGCCCTGCCCACAGCTGGATATGGCCATTTGCAGGGATGCTGCCTGCCTGTGTGTCACACGCTTCTCCAGCAGCCTGGCAGGTGATGTAGGAGCAGAGAAGACGGAGTGACCTGAGGTCTGGGGCTGTTGGGGGGAAGGACAGGAGCCAAGGAGGGGAGGGCAAAGGGGCCAGATGGTTCCTCACCTGAGGCAGGGAGGTGGGTAAGAAGGTCAGGAGCTTGCTGAGTGGGGTGAAGGGGTTCGGGGCTGGGCAGGGGGTGGGCAGAGGGTTCTAAATGAATATATAGAGGTTGTGGTTGAAGAGGGAGTGGACTGGAGAGTATGTGCTAGAACTTAGAGGAAATGAAGTTCCAGGTGAAGCCACATAAAGGACTTGTTGATGAGATGTCCTGTGTGTAGCGGGGAGGAAATGTGAACACAATGGTGTTTACATCATAAAATAAGGGTTCCTTAAGCTTCCAAGTGTCTTTTTTATGCTCAGAATGCCCACCACATCTTCAGCCCTGTCTGCCTCCCTCTCATTACCTGCCGGACTTCTCTACGTGCTGTATCCAGCACCTCACACTCAACACAAGTCGAAAACCAAACATGTTCCCCTCTCACTGTAACTCAGGAAGCCATTTTCCCTCCTCTGCCAGCAATGCTTGAAACTAGACCCCACCCCACCCCGCTCCTAACCACCACCCCAGATTGATCACTCGCCAAGTGCTGCTGGGTTTTGTTTTTCTGAGAGGGTCTTCTTTATCCCTTCCCTCCCTCCCCACTTCCAACACCCAGCCTGGGTCCTCCTCACCTCGGGCTGCATCAGCACAAGGCCCTGACAGAACTGGCATCCTGATCTCCAGCCATCTGCGTCCATCCTGCACCCATTGCCCGATCAGTCCCTTTAGCAGGAAGCTTAATTCATATGGACAAGGGTGTTAGTATGAAAAACAAAAATGCAAACCTGTGTGACTTCCTGCTGCCCGGGGCACTCACTGGCCCTTCTGCCTTATTATTAAGGTTCTGCAGAAACAGCCCAACCTCTCTGCTTTCAAATTCATGCCTGTTTCTCAAGTGTTGCCCACCTCAATTCTTTCCTCTCTCGTCTGAAGCTGACTGCCTCTCTTCCTGCCACCTACATCCTGCTCATCCTCAGGCCCCCCTGATCCACTGTCACTGATCTCAACTCCTAGGGACACTCTGATAGTGTCTGGAGCTGGTACTGCCCAAAGGAGCGCTGACATGGTCTGTACCCTCTGTGATGTAGATTGTCACCCATGGGAACTGTGCTTTCATGTGGGCACCATGAGTCTTGTCTCAACCAGACTGTAGACGCTTTCAGACTGGAGACTATAAAATACTACTTTACCGCTCCCACCCTGCCTGGCACAACTATTTCCATAGTATGTACTCAGATACTTGTAGGATTCGTTGAAACATTGGACACCAAGGCTGTTTAACTTTAACTTAAAGTGCAGACCTCACCAAAAAAGTAAAGCTGGTTTGCCCTGGCTGGTGTGACTCTGTGGTTAGAGCATCAGCCCGTGCACTGAGGGTCTCAGGTTCAATTCCCAGTCAAAGGCATGTACCTGGGTTGCAGGTTCGATCCCCAGCTAGGGGTGGGAGGCAACCAATCAATGTGTGTCTCTCATATCGATGTGTGGTGGGGTTTTTTCTCTCTCTCTCTCCCACTCCCTCCGTCCTTTCCACTCGCCCTAAAATCAATGGA